TCTATCTATCTATCTATCTATCTATCTATCTATCTATCTATCTATCTGTCTATGTATCTATATTGTAATTTCAGTGGGAGGCACTAGCAGCTGGAAACAATCAGGATAGGTCTCATGTCAGAGGTCATTCTTGAGCTCAGCCTTGAAGGAAGCTACAGATTCTAGGAACCAGAGTCATGGAATGTTTCAGAATCAGAAGGAATCTTGGTGGCTATCTGGTCCAATCCATATCCAAAAGGAATTCTCACTATAATCAATCATTCATTGATATCAACAAGCATTTATTAAACACCTACTGTATTCCAGGAACTGTACTAAGCACTGGGAACATGAATACAAAGAATGAAACACTTCTCTCAATAAGCTCTGCTTAAAGACCTTTGGGGGGGGACAGAGAGTGCATTCCAGTCATGGGGAATAATGTTGTGTGTCGGGAACTGGAGAAAGGACAGATTTATTTTTATTATTTATTTATTTATGGTTAGGCAATGGGGTTAAGTGACTTGCCCAGGGTCACACAGCTAGTAAGTGTTATGTATCTGAGGTCGGATTTGAAGTCAGGTCCTCCTGAAAACAGGGCCGGTGCTCCATCTACTACACCACCTAGCGGCCGCCATGGAAGGACAGATTTATTGGAGGAAGGACAGATTTATTGAAAAGGGGAATAATGGAGGTAACCGAAGTCCCAAAGTGCACTGGTGTAGGACTTTCCACCCTGGTGGAGATCAATGCCCCACACCTGAGTGAGCACCTGGGTGGAGTTGTCTAGACGAGAAGAGGAGAGGAGAGGCTCACTCTCTTCCAGCTCCAGTCTTTTGAGGAGTCTTCAGGCTTCATCCACTGCTGATGTTCAGCTTCAGGAGAGAAGATGGGTGAGGCCAACTCCATGACAGTTTGCTGAAGGAAAAGATCTGGTGGCCAACAGAAGGAGCTCCCTCATGTCCGTATCCCCAGCGTACTACTCTGGACACTAGGAATTTCTGCTTGAGTGAGGTTGGAGGCTCTCTTTTGGTGGGGCTGAATGACGTTGTTCCCAATGGGAGAGCTCCTTCATTCTGTATTGTATGGTACATATTTTCCCATGGACACTTTCTCTGGTTTTTGTTTTGCTATCATTTGGATAAATGGGTTTCTTGGCTACCTACTGGGAGTGTACATTGTGAACTGATATTTGGTGGGAAAGGAGTCAGTGCTTGGATAGAAATCATGGGTCTTCCTGCTTTCCCCAATAATTAAACCTTAGTCAGAAGTTAGCTTGAACCTGAAAATCCCGTCACCCATTCTAACAATAGGGAAGGGAGCAGATAGATATGATTCTAGCCAGTATCCTCTCCCTCTGAGGAGAACAGAATGGCCTCTGGCCTCAATGACCTCCCACTTCCATTCCTGGCAGGAATTAAAGTCTCTCTTAAGGAAGGGGGAGGGGAGAAGAGACCAGAGGTGTCAATTCTGCTTCCCTTTTAGTCACACAATGATACTTGGTGATACGTGCATGAAGCAGCCCTCATCACATGTATAATAGTCCTGGAAGGATAAGTTGGAGGCAGGCTGTGAAGAGCTTTAAATGCCAATCAGAAGGGGCAACAAGGCGGTGAAGTGGATAGAGCGCTGGCCCTGGAATCAGGAGGACCTGAGTTGATATCCAGCCTCAGACACTTAGTAGCTGTGTGACCCTGGGCAAGTCACTTAACCCCAAATGCCCCCCCAAAAAATGCCAATCAGAGTAGTTTGGACTTGATTCTGAAGGCACTAAGGAGCCACACCTGGCCTGGCCACTTACTCCCCTTTTGTCCTTTCACCTCTCTGGGGCCCAGCTTCCTCAACTATAGAATGAGGGCGTTGGACTAGGCAACCTGCCAGCTCTAAATCTCTGGCATTCTTCTCTGGTATTTGGAGCAAGGTGCATTGCTAGGGCAAAAGACAAAAATGAAAACTCACATTCTAATGGGGGGAGAAGGAGAAACAACTCCCTTCCACTCTCCAAATCTACCTGTGGGGCATTCCAGCCAGCTTGGCTAAAGCACTGAGGCATCTGGAGGGAGAGATGGGAGGCATCTCAGACCAGGCAAGTTAAAACCTCAGTCAATACCTCCTCTTGGACCGTGATGGACAGAGCCAAAGATGCTGGATCCAACAGCCTTGGCAATGGCAGTGGTCCCCAGACCTCTGGCCCTGCTTCTAGCCCGGGTTCCACAGCCATCAATGAGAAGAATGATCATTGTGACGGAGAGGCCCACCTTCCTCAATGCCACCAACTGCCATTCATGGGCTTACAGTGGCAGCGCCTGGCAGAGTCCTGGTCCTGATCCACAGCCATCATCTCAGGAAATGTGGCCTGGGAACCACATTTATGATGCTTTAGCCACAGCTGCTGAAGATTTAGAGAAGAAAGTCCCTGATCAAACCAAGTGGTTCAACATCAGAAACTACTCTCCCAATCCACATTCAAACTGGCAGGCTGGGTCACCAGAACATGACTGCTGCATCTTCCCTCTGGGGATCTAAGGCTAGCTCTGAAGAGTTGACGATTGGTTTCCCCCCTAATCCAAAATAACTCATGAGCCCCCATCAGTGTATCCCCACTAACCATGATTATTTGTTGATATCAATTAGTTAGCCAGACTCAACTCATTTTTAGAAAAGGTATTTACTAAGGTCATATGATAAGAATAGTTGGTACAAAACATCCTCCCACAATCAGTGACACACACACACACACACACACACACACACAGAAACAGAGAGAGATAGAGAGACAGAGAGACAGAGAGAGAGAGAGAGAGACAGAGAGTGAGTTCAGGGGAAAGAAAGTGTTCTCAAGCTTAGAGGGGACATATGGCAAAATGGTAACTCACAGCCTTTGTAAACCCTTTTGCTATAGTCCTCAAACTGTTTTCTTTAGATATGATGTAGTTTTTCTGCTGGGCTCCACATAGAGCTATCTGCATCATGTGTTTTAAGGAGTACCAGGAAGTCCTTTGTCCTACAAAATCTCCCTCACTGCCTGGCAGAGTACCTGAATATTTCATCATTAGAGTCTCCCCCATAAGTATTGAAGACTTTCCTGAGAAGAGGCTCTGAAAGTGCAACCACACCTTTAAGAGTGTGAGTCATAAGAGAGAAGGATTAATGCTGGGCTGAGGCAAGCCCAGGAAGAACTTAGGATAGACCCTGGAGGCAGGAGTGAAACAAGCTGAGTGCAGAAAAGGGAGGAAGGAGAAATTTCTGCCTTTCCTTGTGGTGCCAAAGGGTTGAGCCTGAACAAGAAAATGTTTAGGCTGATAACCCCACGGTGATAACAACTGATACCCAGTAAAAGTGACTTTCCCACCCGTTACCTCAGTGAATCCTCATAACGATATTTTATTTCAACGTAATAAGGTTCCTCCCCAGGCCCTTTGTTGCCCCTTTTTGTTTCTTATCCATTGAAGAAACAGATCCACAGGCTCAAGGATCACAGATCCAGATCTGGAAGGAACTTTAGGCATCATGACCTAGTCTAACCACTTTTACAGATGTGGAAACTAAGGCCAGCCTGGTTACATGACTTGCTCAAAGTTGCATCTTCTGTAGGAGAGCCTATATTTGGGCCGGGTTCTCTAGTTCCAAATCTAGTGCCTTTCCTACTATCCCATAGCTCCTCAGAGTGGTTTGCCTCAGTTTACATACCTTGTAACAGGAAGAAAGGGAGGGCTTGAATGTAGAACTTCTGACTCCAAATCGAGTCCACTAGACCACAGCTGGAATTAATTTCAGGTGAGTGTTTCACTTTTTTGTTGTTGTTACAAGGGAAAGGTGACTTGGAACAGAGAGGGGTAGGGCATATTAGGAAATGACAAAAGATAAAATGAAAGGTGGGGTTCTTGTTCAGTCCCTCAGTCTTGTCTGACACTTCAGGACCGATTTGGGGTTTTCTTGGCAGAGATACTGGAGTGCTTTGCCATTTTCTTCTCCAGCTCATTTCACAGATGAGGAAACTAAGGCAAACAGGGTGAAGTGACTTACCCAGGGTCACATAGCTAATAAGTGTCTGAGGCCTGATTTGAACTCGGGTCTTCCTGACTCCAGTGCACCACTGAGCTGCCCCTAGATAAACACATACCTGCACATGTAAGCCAGGCATAACTGCACAATATGATAAGTCTTGATGTTGCCTTCTAAATAATCATAGATATTGGTATATTTGCTTGGTCAGTGGCCTGCCCATTACTTTGTCTTGGGAGGGTCAAGATTCTTAGTCTAAGGTAAGGGTAGGGAACCTGGGGTGGCCTTCCAGGTCCTTGGGTGTAACCTTTTGACTGAATTCAAGTTTTATAGAACGAATCCTATTATTAAGGGGATTTTCTCTGTGAAGTTTGGATTCAGTGAAGGGACCTCACTTGAGGACCTAGAGGGCCACATGTGGCCTCAAGGCCACAGGTTCCCCATGCCTGGTCTAAGGAAACAAACTTGTGTCTCCTAGGATATAAGGTTTGGTTAGAACTAGATCATCTCCAAAGGGGAAGCTGTCTTAACTTGGAGGATAGAAGAATGGAGTGGTGATTAATGGTTCTAGATCACTTCTGAGAAATTCAGAACCCTTTCCTACTTTTGTCATGAGATCATAGATTTGGAACTGGAAAGGCCCTCAGAGGCCATCTAATTGTACCTCTTTGTTTTACAGATGAGGAAACTGAGGTCCAAAGAAGAGAAGTGACTTGTCCAAGGTCATACAGGTTCTAAGTGACAGACCCTAAGATTCCGAGGTCACTGCTTTTTCTGTGCTAACCTGCTTCCTCCAAAATCATTGACTTCCAAAAACCAGGTGTTGAATCAAGAGTTCTCGGGTTTCATCTTAGTGAAACCTACCCCTGCCAACCTAGATCATGACTCCTCTGTCCCTTGGAAGAATAGGTTTTGGAAATCTGCTGTGACTCAGAACAATCTATCATTTTATGGCCAGCTCAGAGGAGCTCTCTGGACTATGTGGCTGGTCCTTGGATGACAGAAGGACTGTCAGAACTTGTGTTCTGCTGGTTTCACCTTCAAGAAGCCACAGTGACCTCTGTAGCACAACCAGGACTGTAGCAATAGGTCTCAAGGTACGAGTGGGCATGTCCACTTATACAGGTGCTTGTGGGTAGGGCCAGAGACAGGGATTGGACCTGTGAGCTTATGAGCATAGGAAAGTCCTAGGTGAGGAAATTCCCTCTACCAATGGTCAGCACCATCCCTGCAACAAGGCATAGATAGCATTGGTCTCTGATACTGCTGCCTAAACCAGATCAAAATGTCATTGCAAAATATTTAGCAAAACAAATAAAAATATAGTAGGGCATAGATAATATTAATATTAATATGTGATTTTCTAAGCTAATATCCAGCCACATAGATCCTCATGTAGTTTAGTGGCTCCCATTTCTATTTGAGTTTGACACCACATGTGAGTTTGACCTGAGGGTAAATGACTTGCCCAAAGTCACACTGCCATTATATGTCAGAGGCAAGACTTGACCCCGGATCTTTCTTGACCCCAGATCTTTCTTGACCCCAGAGAGCCCATGCCAGCTCTCTATCTACTCTGCCACTGGCTGCATGTAGGTGTTCATGAACACAGGAAGGATCTTTGAGTTGTCATTGTGTGAAACTCCCAGTATGTGAACTGCCTCCACCAATACAAATAGCCACTGGTCTTCAACTCAGTAGATAAGCTTTAGGGAATTTTATAAGAGTCGGAGAGATTAAGTGACTTGCCCTCCACAACCAGAACTTGTCAGAGGCAAGATTTGAACCCGATTTTTTCTGACCGTAAACCACTCTATGTACTATATTACATAGGTCTCTCTCTCTCTCTCTCCCCCTCTTCATAGATAAATATAGATATAGATGGATATATAGATATATTGTCAGAATTAGGGTTAAGGTTAGAGTCATACACATATATACATATATATGCAGACATATACACACATATATACATATGTATACATATACACATGTGTATACACATATACGTATACGTGTATGTATAGATATACACATACAGTAGATATATACATGGTATACTATATATGGTATGCTACATGCCAGGTTCTGTGCTAAATGCTGGGGATACAAAGGAAGCCGAAAAACACAGGGCCTGCCCTCAAGGAGCTCAAATTCACCGGGGGAAACCGCTTGGAAACAACCGTGTAAGCGTCCATTTCCGCCCTCCCGGGTGGTTTTCAGGCTGCTTCGCGACCTGGGAACCATGAGAATGCTTCATGCAAACAGCTGGACTGCCCCTCCCTCCCCTCCGCTCGGCTCCTTCCCCTTTTGTTTCAGGCGGGAGCAGCCGCTGCAGCCGCAGCCGGCCGAGGGTCTGGCCAGAGCCTGCAGAGCCCCACCGGCCTGGGCTGGGCCGGGCAGGGCCGGGCAGGGCAGCCTCCCTGCGCCCGCCCGCGCGCCCGCCGCACGGCACATCCAGAGGCTTGGGGCTGCCAGCCGCCCCTGGACCGGGTGGGGAGGAGGGGCCGGGGCGGGGGCGGGACCCTCTGCTGCCCGCCCAGCCTCCTGCCCAGTCGCCAGCCTCTGCCCGCCCGCCTCTGGCTGCCTCCCACCCTAGCCATCTCCCAGGGCAGCACAGCGCAGCGCAACGCACCGCAGCGCTGACTCCGGGGCTGGCCAGCCTGCTCTCAGTGCTGGGGCTGCCGCGGCAGCATCCTTCTGCTCCTCCTCCTCCTCCTCTTCCTCCTCCTCCTCCTCCTCCTCCTCCTCCTCCTTCTCCTCTGCCTCCTCCTCCTCTTCCTCCTTGTCCTCTTCCTCCTCCTCCTCCCCTCCAGAACCCCAGGGAGGGAGGGGCAGGGAGGCGGGGAGGCCAGCGCTTGGCGAGGCCGGGCCGGTCAGGCGGGCAGGCAGGCAAGGAGGGAGGACAGCGCCCAGCCTCGGCCCCAGCCCCAGCCCCAGCCCCCGCCCCAGCCCTGGCCGCCTTGCCATCTGGATGCAGAGCACCAACGTAGGCAGGAAGAAGGTAGGCAGGCAGCGGGGCCGGGGGCAGGATTGGGGCCGGGGCTGCCCGCAGCGTGGAAACCCCGGCCCCTGCTGGCAACAAAGGAGGGGATGGGGGGGAGGGATGGCCCGGGAGAAACGCCGGTGGGGCTCAGAAGGGGGCCGGCGGAGGCTCAACATTTTGGTAGCGGGTGGGGGAAAAAGCATTGTCCTTGAGCTGGATCTGTATGCGTGTTAGGGGGCTGGGGGGGGGGTGACCACGAAGGAAAAAGACCACGGGGACTGACCTGGGTGGGTGTGTGCAGGAGCCATGCGAGGATGCCAAATGCCCCCTTTGCTTCTGCCAGGGGCTGGGAGCCTGCCCACGCCGAGGACAGCTCTTTGTTAAATGGGTCTGTGGGGTTTGCAGCCAATGCCGCTTCCCCTTTCTCCCATACTAACTCTGGAGCAGGATGAGGGTGGCTGATGCCCTCAGAGCAGGGAGCCTGGGCACAGAGACATTTCAGCATCCTTTCCTGGGGACCAGGGAGGGAGGGAGAGTCTGGGGTCAGATTGAGTGCTCCAGCTTACAGAGAGAGACTTTTCCACCCTTGTTCAACGTGGCCCGAATGGGGCTGGTTGGCCCCTTCTTCCTGCCCCCTCCCCCCTCCCAGATGTCTGCAGCTCTGGCAGGGTGGATGGTCTCTGTGGGCTCCAGGATACCATGAGACAGCAGAATTTACTACCCTCGAAGGGGGTGGGGGCCTGGATCCTGGGGAAGAGATGCTTGTCAACAGCAGGCTGGTCAGGCAGGAGTGGTGACAGGGCCTTGGAGCCCTGAGTTCCTCCCTGGTGCTGGGTGGGTGCACAGAAGGAGTCCTGAGCACACTTGTGGGAGGGAGGATTCACTGGCGAATCTTTCCAACCAGGCCCAGGGTGTTTTGGGTCTCCCAGAAAGGACGGTGAGCCAGTGAGAAAAAAAGCTGGTTGGCAATGTGAACCGTAATTCTATACCATAGATTCCTCCCTCTGAGTCCCCTTGTGCCTCAGTTTCCCCCCAATGCTAAATGTGAGTCAATGAAAAATATTGCCACCTACCTTATGGGTCACATTATGGTGGACAGGGGTGATAGAAACTAGAAATCTCTCTTTTTTTTTTCCCTTCACATTGGTCTCTTTATCAATGATCCTTGTAGGGATCAGCCTTGGATGTAGAATGACTGTCACTGAACCACCTAACCCAGACTCCTGTGAAGTATTAGGAGATGATGCTTTGACTAGGCTTTCCAGGTGAGAAATCTCAGCTGCACAGGAAGGAAAGAATGAAGGTGGAGGGAAGTCTGGGGGGCACTCCTCTGGAACCTAGAACCCACTAGCATTTCTGTATAACCCCATCCCCCTCCCACTGTCCTCTCTCTATGAGGCAGGCTCATAGGCAAAGCTGGGAAAAGAATTATTAATCTTTCTCCTGCTCTTAAACTCGAATAGAGAAAGGGAAGCAGTTGTGGTACCGTGGGAGTCAGAGGACCTGAGTCCAAAATCTGCCTCTGCTCCTTGTTACCAGTGTGAATTTGGGTAAGTCACTTAACCTCAGTGACTTCATCTGTAAAATGGAGAGATTGAACTAGATGGTCTCAGAGCTTCCTTGCAAGGCTAGCTCTGTGATGCTAAAAGCAGAGCAATATTGGGGCTGGAGGAGGGACCAGGAATCAGTCCATACCTTCTGACTCCAAACTCCACATGTTTACTGTGTGCCCATCCTGACTTCTCCACTGGACTGTGAGCTCCTGGAGGATAGTGCATTTGCATGCTACGCAATGTGTGACTGTGGGCAAGTCACTTAATGTCCTCTTGTCTGTAAAAGGAGGGGTTGCTCTAGATGGCCCCAGGAGTTCTGAACAGCTCTGGAGCTATGAGCTTAAGTCATGGCACCTTGCTGGGCCTCAGTTGCTTTCTCTGTAAAATGGAGGGGTTGGACTAGATGTCTTCCCATTCATGAGCCTTTCCTCTCTCCTCTGGAAGGCTGGCTGGCCTGAACCAGGGTGGGGCAATGAGGACCTCTGGGGGGCTGAGTAGAGGAAGTGAAGGTGCTCCGGGACAAAGAGAAGCTGGACTCTTTCTAGTTTGGAATTTTGGCTGGTGAGCCTTTGGCCTCCTGCCCAGCGCTTCTTGGGTAACATTCACCCATTGTGCTTCTGCCCCCAGGAATGGGAATTTGCTGCTTTGTTCATTCAACAAGCCTCTATTGACTGTTGTGTGCCCAGCTCGGCTGGAGGTGGCACAGAATTCTGATGGCGGGCAGTGCTCCCTGCACACGGCCACCAGCTGACTTTTTCCTAAAATACCACTCTGGCCATGCCACTCTCCTGTTCAGTAGATCCCTGTACCCCCGAGGGTAAAGTTTAAAGTCCTCAGCCTGGCATTCAAGGCTTTACAGTCTGGCTGTACCATACCTTTCCAGCCTGATCCAATGGTCCCCAACATGGAGTGTGGCACACTGGGAAGAACTCTCACCCAGCAGTCAGAGAACCTGGGTTTGGGTCCAGGCTCTGCCTCTTGCTACCTGCGTAACAATGAAGTCACCTTTTTAGCTTCTCTGAGCCTTAGTTTCTTCATCTGTAAAATGAAGGATTTGGAATAGGTGACCTCTAAGGTCCCTTCCAATTCTAAGTCTAAATCTTATGATTTTCATTGCCTCAAATATGCTGTTCTTGTAACCAGTGTAGAGCCTTTGGACAAGCACTTAGAATGCTTTCCACCTGCGCTCTCTCTCTCTCTCTCTCTCTCTCATTTCCTTCTCTTTCTTTTTGTCTCTCTCTTCCTTTTCTCCCTCTCTTTCTCTCTCTGCCTCTCTGTCTCTCTCCCTCCTTCCTCTCTCTGTTTCTCACTTCTTTCTCTCTCCCTCTCTGTCTCTCCCTTCCTTTTCTCTTCTCTCTCTCTCTCTCTCTCTCTCTCTCTCTCTTCCTTCTCTCTTTCTCTCTCTCTCTCTCCTTTCCTTCTCTCTCTGCCTCTCTATTCTCTCAGTTTCTCATTTTCTTTTCTCTGTCTCTAGCTCTCTCTGTTTCTCATTTCCTTCTCTCTTTCTCTCTCTCTCACTCTGTCTCTCTTCCTCTCTCTGTCTCTCTGACCTACACATTCTTCAAGGCCAAGCCAAATGTCAGCTCCTCCATGCTGTCTTCCCTGACTGCCCCAGGCCAATGACATCTCTCCCGTCTCTGAATTCCTATGGAACTTCCTGTCTGTATAGAGGAAAAAAAAGATTTAGAGAAAAGAGTCCTTAGCTCAAATCTTAGCTCTGCTGCTTACTACCTATGTGACCTTGGACAAAATACTTTCTTCTGGTCCTCAGTTTCCTCACCTGTAAATTGAAGGAGCTGTACTAGCCGATCTCTGAGTCTCCTTCCAGCTTTCAAATCTATGATTTTCTGTTGGGATAAAATATTTCGATTGAGTATTTGTTGGATATTTGTCAAATTCTGTCTTAAAATTCTTTTAAAATTATGCCACATGTGGTACCTTGGTGACCCCAGCTCTGCATTCAGGCCTGATCCCCTAAACAGATCATTGATTTAAAAAGCAAAAAACTTAAAAAAAACCCAACCTGATCGTAACTAGATTATACATTCCCTGAGAGTAGAAAAAAGCAGAAAAGTGGGTTTGCTAAAATCGTGTTGAAGAGAAGAGTAAATTCATTCTTAAGATCATAGATTCTGAGTCGGAAAGCTGTTTAGTCCAACCCCCTCTCACTTTACAGACAGGGAAACTGAGGCCCAGAAAGGTTACGTGACATAGGACCATTGATCTGGATCTGGGAGGGACCCCAGAGACCATCGACTCCCTCATTTTACAGATGGAGAAAGGCAGCTAAGTGACTTGTCCAAGGTCACATAGGCGGCATCAAAGGTGAAATTTGAACTCGGCTTCTCTGACTTCAGAGACTGCCTGCCCCGAGGTCCTGAGGTGGGGCAGTCATGCACTGGAAGTGAGGGATGCCAGGCAGACAGATACATGGCCCACATTCTCTGTCGGTTCCCTGTGCCATGTCAAGAGAGGAGGGCCCAGTACCCTGGGTAGACTCCCACAAGGGAATTATGGGAGGATGTGGAGTCAGGGAGTGTGAGAAGTTGTGGGTGAGAAGTAGTTTGCTCCCACATCAGTGAGATCACAGACCCACCAAAATAGGGCTGGTTCCTCCTCTGAGGAAAGGGATGGAACTTCAGAACGTTTCTTCTTGGAGGGCTCTCTTGTCCCCATTCAGGTTCTCAGCCATGCTCTAGGTAAAAAAGATAAAAGGTAACATTTAAGTATTGTTTGAATTTAAGGTTTGCATTTAAATTACTTAAATTTAAATTTAAATTGGTACCCTCACAACTCACTCAATATTTACAACAACCCTAGGAAGTAGGTGCTATTGTTATCCTTATTTTACAGATGAGGAAACTGAGGCAGGTAGAGGTTATGTGGCTTGTCCAGGGTCACACAGCTAGTACATATCTGAGCCAGAATTTGAACTCAAGTCTTCCTAACTCAAATCTGGGCAGTCTATCCTTCAGGTTATCCAGTTGCCTAATAGGTAAAGTAACAGGATAAGTAGACCTGTCCCCCCCAACCTGACCCCCCGACTTTCCCTGGAAATTGACAGTGTTATGATCCTAGGCATGGGAGTCAGGGCAGGGAGGGAACAAGGAAAAGACCCCTTAGGGTGGGATTTGTGGAGGTAGATCATGATCTGGGTGTCAAAGGAAGGAAAAGATGAGGTTTCAGCATAGAGGGGGTAGGGTGAGCCTTCTACACAGGGGAAATAGCATGAGCAAAGACTCGGAGGTAGGAAGAAGCAAAGGTATCATCAGCAGGAGATGATAAGGAGAACTATTTGTCCTGAATATGTTCAGTTGTTTTTCAATCATGTCTGGCTCTTCATGACCCCATTTGGGGTTTTCTTGGTAGGGATACTGGAATGGTTTGCCATTTCCTCCACCTTTACAGATGAGGAAACTGAGGCAAACAGGGTGAAGTGACTTGCCCAGGGTCATACAGCCAGTAAGTGTCTGAGGCCAGATTTGAACTCAGGGACATGAGTCTTCTTGACTCCAGGCCTGGTGCTCTGTGCACTATGGCGCCACCTAGCTGCACCAAACATAGACAGAGACCCATAACTGAGGACTGGGGATGACGTTGGCCAGCTCAATGTTAAGTCCATGCCTTTAATCCCCAGCACCTTGCCTGATGCTTGGTGCCGGACATAGGAGATGCTTCATCAGTACTTGTTGGTTGATCGATAAAGTTGGTGAAATTAAGGTAGCCATGCAGGTTAAAAAGCCGCCAAGCCTCAAACACAGAACTTTAGCAAGGAAATAGCGCTTCACCTGAGTTCCTTTGGGAGCATCAGTGTCTTCAGGAAGCATTGTACAGATGTTATTTCCATTTTGACAAATATCCCATCTAACCTGCTGCCTGATAGGCCCCAGGCCACTCCCTCCTAATGCATGGGGGCTCAGGAATGCTGCGCCTGCCTCTTTGTTGGTCCTCCTGCCTCCAGACTGAGAGGAGCAGAGCTGCAGAATTGTGAGGGCCCTCGGGGGCCTTCATTTTACTAATGACTTACCCAGGGTCACACAGCTAGGAATTAGCGGATTCTGGATCGAGAATTAGAAGGGATCTCAGAATTCATCTGGTCCAACACTTGCAGTCCTTTTACAGGGGAGAAGAATGAAGCCCAGGGAGAGGAAGTGATTGGTGGGAGGTCTCACGGATCGTGAGCATTCCGGCAGGAATTTGAACTCAGATTCTGATTTGAGAGGCTGAATTCTTTCCAGGGCCTCCTCTGCAAACTGCCTCCTTGGGGAATCTTCCTTTCCCTGACCTTCCCCATGGGCCAGAAGAGGAAAGGGAATGATCCTGGGAAAATGGGTGTGAAAGTGCCCCCTCCGCCACGGTTCCCCCTCCCCGGGGCCCTGCTCCATCTTTCCCCTGCCGCTTTATATCCACAGGGGCAGGGGTTGTCGTTAAACTCAGGTTTTCAGAGGGTTAATGAAACGTTTTCCTTCCAGGCAGAAAGTCGTTTTTTGTTTTGTTTTGTTTTTAAATGTCCATCCCAGGTTGTTTTTATTAACAAGGCATCAATTTGGGGCCCAAACAACTTACCAGCTTCCTCTTTAACCCTGAACAATCCCCTCAGTGCCAAGCCTTCAGTCCCTGGAAATCCCATCCCACTTTCAGTTGTAGCCTGGAATAGACCACCAGTTCTCTAGCTTTCTCTCTCTCTTTATTTCCGTTCTTCTCCCCTTCCT